CAAGATTTTTCGTCTAACAGTGCTCATTATTAATATTTTGAGGACAACTTTTAGTCATTATTATTTGCCAATACGGAAAACATGAAAACACTCCACTAATACATGTTTTCCTTACCCTATTATTCACTACTCTCTTTTCTGTGTCATTTTCATGGTCCATGTTAACCTTTACAATTTTCATTAAAGATATTAATGAGATAAAACATCAATTCTAAGCAGAAGATATCATAAAAGAAACACTTAAAAGAGCTAAATCTAAATTTTGTCAAAATAAAAAGACAACGATGTGAAAGTAGTCCCGATTTATGTTGTGTGCCCAGGGATTATTCTCCACCTGACAATATGAAGTGAAAGATAAGCACAGCTAATAATAGATACTGGTTGTTGAGAACATCATTGGTAAAACTAGAATATAGACGACCGAACAAAGACTAGAAAGTGATAAGCCAACATAGCTTTCAATTTATTCAATGGAAAAAAATGTGTCAACTTGTATTCAAGATGAAAATCATTAATCATGTAAATCATGTGAAAGCAATTTCATCAATTTCAGAAATTCAATTCTGAAAGTCTGGAGGGTGTTTACAAGCAATATGAATTAGTCACTTGTTTTCCAACATGAACTTCCAACATCTGGCAACTCCGAGAATAAATTGAGAGTTCTGAAAACAAACGCTATTACTTCAAAGGTAGAAGTGATTTCAACCATTGTTTCCAAGGTGCATCTTGCTGTTGCTCAACCCAAGACAAGAAACAGCTATCCAATAGACAGAAGAAGTTGACATAAAGGAGTTGATACCTCACAGGTATAAACCGAAAATTTGCAACCTGAACAATTGGCCATATGCCCCCTTCTAAAACAAAGGCTGGGAGGAAATCTCTTTTAACATCTTCTTTTATTTGAGGAACACTCTTTCCAGAAGAAAAACCCATGTATGTAAAAAACACAAGTAAATCCAATGGTCCAAAGATAAACCCATCAACAGCAACTTTTGTGGCAACAAAACGGAAGGAATTCGGTTTAAGCATGAGTTTCAATCTTATATACCGATCCAAACCTTCGTACCTACAATGTTAATGCAAAAGAACAAGGAAAATTGATAAGTTTCTTAGAAAATAGATATCGTTTGCCAGTGCCCCTCTTCCCCATCAGAACAAACATAACACTAACAGATATACGACAGCTCACTTCTAGAAGTCTTTTCTTTTCTGATTTAACATTTTTAAGGGACCATTTGGCTTGAGTTTATTGCTTTCATTTTGTATCTGTTCTTTGTATTACAAATTATGGCATGGTTCTCATTTAGTATCCTGTTTTCAAATGTTCTGTTCTGACTTTTAGTTACAAAAATGACAAGTTATTTTTACTTTGTTTCCTGCACATACTTTTAAAAGCAAAAAAGTGTGGAAACAAGGTAACATTTTCATCAGTACAAACGAAAACATAAAACGTTTTCTCACATCAAACAATATTGGATGTTCCCCATCAGCTATAAATATGATCGAAGTAGCTTTTTGTANAGTTAAAGGTGCATGAGAAGAACTACACAACGCATGATAGAAAGCTTGCGAAAGTCGTGTTTGCACTAAAGATCTAGAGACATTACCTCTATAGGGAACATTTCCATGTTTTTAGTGACTATAAGAGTCTAAAGTACCTGTTTGACCAAAAAGAGTTGAACATGTGTCAACGAAGGTTGATGGAGTAGTTGAAGGACTATGACTTTGAGGTGTTATACAACTTGGGAAAGGCTAACATAGAGGTGGAAGTGTTGAATATGAAGCAAGTTCAAATATGATCATTAATGGTGAAAGAGTTAGAGTTGATAGAAAATTTGTGATATATGAACTTGGGTTTGCAGTTGAGCCAAGATCATATGTGGTGTAACCATCTGACGATCATTAGTAACTTCTTGGAACAAGTAAAGACTGAGCAATTGGTGGATCAAACTTGTATTGTCACACTTAAGTGAAATATGATCTAAATAAATGTCAAAATCTTCTAATTGTTGTTTCATCCACAAGATTTATGCACAACAACTTCCAATAGCAATATATCCAACCTTAATGGTTGAAAAGGGTACACATGCTTGTTTCTTAGAGTGTCAGGAAACTAAGGAACTTCCTAAAAGATGACATGTTCCACCAGTGCTTTTTCTAGCTATCTTACAACCTACATAATCAACATCTAAAAAAACTACAAGACTGATACCATAATCCGAAAGACACAGTTTCTTTAAGATATTTCAGTATACGTTTAACTACGATAAGATGTGATTCCTTAAGACTAGATTGGTACTTAGCACATACAAATATAGTTTGCATGATATCAAGTATACTAGCAGTGAGATAAAATAAGGATCCTATCGTGCATCTATACTTAGTTTGGTTTACTTCCTTACTAGATTCATCCTTGTTTAGATAGCAAGAAGTTTTCATTGGAATGGTTGTTTTTTTAGCTTTATCCATTTCAAACTTCTTAAGGATTTCTGTACAATATTTGGTTTGAGAAATGAAAGTTCCAACTTCCATTTGTTTGAATTGAAAACCAAGAAAGAATGTTAATTCTCCCATCATTAACATTTTAAATTCACCTTGCCTAGTTCTAGCAAATTCTTCACAAAGAGATTTATTAGTTGATCCAAAAATAATGTCATCAACATATACTTGAATTACCAAGATATGTTTTCCTACTATCTTAATGAATAAGGTTGAATCAACATTTCCTCTATTAAAATTATTTTCTAGAAAAACAAATTGTTAAGCCTTTCATATTAAGATTTAAGTGCTTGTTTTAGACTATAAAGTGTTTTCTTCAACTTATAGATGTGATTAGGAAACTTAAAATCTTTAAATACTGGATATTGTTCCACGTACACATCTTCTTTAATGGATCCATTTAGAAACACACTTTTAACACCCATTTAATATAATTTAAATTTTATAATAGATGCATAAGTAAGAAGTATGCATGGATATCAATTATTCAAGAATATGCATAAAATACACATCATATATTTTAATCTTCAAACCACATTGATTAATTCCTTAACCTGATTATATTTGCTAAATATTTTGCTTTAGTCATCTAATGTAACTTCACTTCTAATGAAACTTATCAAAACCTTATTGGTTGTTGGGACTCATCTAATTCAATAAAAGAAACCAAAGGAAGGACAAAACCTAGTATAGGTTGTGAAGGAGACTAAGGGAACAAAGGAAGTTGCTACCCGTCGATAACATGACAGAGAGTATGACTCAACAACTCGAGAATCTGAAGTAGCATGTTGAGTGGGATACTTAGCAAAAGTAGAAATGATTCTTGGAGGTAGAATGCGAGAAGATGAAGATGACAATATAGGCGTTTGAGTTTGAGTGGTGAAGGGAAAAATGTTTTCTTCAAACACATCCTTAGAAATAAATATTTTGCCATTGGAATCAAGCCACTTGTACCCTTTTACACAAGGAATATCCTAAAAAGGTGTAGGCAGTGGACCTAATTTACAATTTATTGGTGTCAGTGTGAGGATAATAAGCACAGCCAAAAATTTTGAAAAATTTGTAATTGATTTCTTTATTAAATAGAGTACAATAAGGAATGGGAAGAGAAAGAACAGATGCAAGAAGCCTGTTCATATTATATATTATAGTGTGAAAGCATGGTCCCAAAATGTTATAGGCAAAGATGCTTGAGAAAGAAGAGTAAGGCCCATTTCAACATTATGCCTATGTTTGAGTTCAACAAAACCATTTTGATGATGAGTATAAGGACAGATTAAACGGTTATAAATGCCCAATGAGTTAAGATATTGAATGAAAGGTTCAAATTGACCACTTAAATCACTTTGAATTTTCTTAATCCTATGATTTAGTTGAGGTTCAGCAAAGGATTTAATTTGTTTAAAGGAATTTAAGGTGCAGATTTTTGTTTTAGAAAATAAATCCAAGTATATATCTACTATAGGAATCAATAATGATAACCCTTAGAAGATTTTTACATGGGAAGGACGACCTAAAGACCGCAAAACACAAGTTGTAAAGGTGCAATATAAGAGCTTAAGGATGTGTGAGAAGGTAATTTATGAGAATTTGCCATACAACATGCTACACAATAACAGCGTTTGAGAACATTATGGAACACAATAACTGAAGGATGACCTAGTCTATTATGCTAAAGGGAAAACATAGTAAAATTGTGTGTGGGTACGGTGGAAACAACGGGGGGTTTGTGAACAACAGACATAGTGGAAACTGGTGGAGACGCATTCTGGGAATGCAGTGGAAGGAGAGGAAATTGGGAGAGACCATCCGGGCCAAGATAGCCACACAGCAAGACAGAGTTATCAACCTGAGACTTAACAAAACAAACAGTGGAATGAAATTTAAAATATACATTATTATCTCTAGCAAACCTACTCACACTAACAAAATTTTCATTAACAGAAGGAACGTGCATGAGGTTTTTAAGGTGTAGAACCAGAATACTGAACAGACAAACCTTGTCCATTTCTAAGGAAGACACAAACATCTCTTGGAGTAGGTGTTGGATTTTCAAGATTGGTAGAATCAGTGATTTTGTGATGAGATGCACTAGAGTCAATATACCAATTCTGATATTTTTGAGCAAGCGGATAGACTGGTGTGGACTTAGCAACATAAACATGGTGATAGCAATATAGGCTCTGGCCCAAATTCTGATGTGTTGAATGGGCCTAGCAATGACAACAGAGGAAATATGAGAGAGAGGCCTAGTAGGGAGCACAATATGCCAAATTATCTCCATGACTACATCACCAAGTAGAAATGTTTCTAAGATTTCTAGTATTTTCTATTTTGTCAGTATTCACTATATTTGCTGAGTTGTACTTTCTGTTATTGATGCTTTCTGTTTCCACAATTCACGGGTAGCCAATCATTGGTAACGTGAACATTGTTAAATACCCAAACTTGAAATGAATAGAAAGAAGAATTTTCATTATCTTTCTCTGTTAATTCTAGGAGGCTCCTTGATCCTCGAAATCAAGACAACTTATACCTATCAATTTGGTGCTTTCATTGCTCCTCTTCCCATGGCTGAACACAACACACGCTCTAAAACCATTGACGATGCAATTCTCCGCCTCACCCAAAATCAGTCCGTCCTCACCACCTCCCAAAATGAACTCAACACCAAGCTCGACTCCATCATTGCTCACCTCTCCCAAACCGACATCATCAACCCTCAAACCCAATCCCCATCCTCACCATCTTCAACTTCCTTCAAACCTCACATGAAGCTCGAGGTTCCCCGGTTTGATGGTCATGATGCTACCGGTTGGATCTTCAAGATCACCCAATTCTTTGAGTATCACTCTACGCCCGAAGAGGATCGACTCAAAGTGGCTTCCTTCTACATGGACGGCGCCGCCCTCAGCTGGTTCCAGTGGGTTCACAAAAATGGCCTGATTTCGTCTTGGCATAATTTCCTTCAAGCCCTGGAAACTCGTTTTGCTCCTTCTTACTATGAGGATCCTCGTGGCCTTCTGTTCAAGCTCACACAAAGCGGTACGGTTAATGATTACCTTACTGAATTTGAACGATTGGCTAGTAGAGTTGTGGGTCTTCCCCCTTCATTTTTGTTAAGCTGTTTTATTTCGGGTCTTTCTCCTGAGATCAAACGGGAGGTTTTGGCTTTGCAACCACTAACCTTTACACAGGCTGCTGCATTGGCTAAGTTGCAAGAAGATAAATTTCATGACCTGAGAAAAGGTCCCCGGAATCGCTTTTCGTTTCAGCCCTCCCCGATTTCCACTTCT